GGAAAGTGACACGCAGTTTAGTGCATTTGAAGAGTTCGTTTACATTTCTATCTGAAACAGTTTTCTGTGACATTTGTAGAGGTGTTCATGCCTTTCAGGTTTGCAGTGATGTCAGACTAGGGCCTACTCTCCTGCAGGGAACTGTGGCGTTCACAGCTTTCTGAAACACTCAATGGCTCTGACAGGTGGGTGTGCCAGAGGACCATGCCTGCAAGCCATATCATCATGCAGCTCCCAAATGCCAGCCCACTGAAGCTCAGCAGGTGTGAGCCTGGTCAGTTCCTGGATGGGTGACCTCCTGGGAAAAACTAAGGTTGCTGCTGGAAGAGGTGTTAGTGGGGCCAGCAGGGGGTGCTCACCCTGCAGTCTGAGTGGGTCCTAATGCCCCAGTGACGGGGACACTTTACTGTAAAAAAGGCACCATCCTGACTCTCTGTGGTCATTAAAACTCCCAGGGTGTTTCTTGAAAAGAGTAGGGGTGTCACTCAGCGTCCTGGCCACATTTCCCTTTGGCCTTTACTGATCATGGCCTCCTAACAATCCCCATCTCTGAACTGGCTTCATCACTCTGTTCTCCTGTCCGCTGATAGCTGATGTATGGAGTACTGGTGCACTATGGCTGCTGTCCAGGTGGGGCTGCACACCAGTAGTGGTGGAGGGGCGTCCCCATTACCTGTAAAGTGCTTTGAGTGGAGTGTCCAGAAAAGTGCTATATAAGCGTAAGAAATTATTATTATTATTATTATTATTATTGTTTTATATTTAACTGTTGACAGTTATGCATGCTGGTTGCATATCCACATAATTACTTGTGCAACTAAGAAGGACTGTCCATCTAAGTGTTTGACCAACAGGTGTCCACTACCATGGGGAGGCATACAGGCCCACACCCACTCCCACACTGCTCTGGGATGCACAGCCACAGAGACAGACCCCCCCTTGCTGGGGAGGACCAGTGAATCCGCTAACCCACTCACTGCTAATGAGTTCAATGTGTTCATGTAATTACAGCAATTCAAGAGAATATATGGCTTCTGATGTATGAATGTTAGTAGGATGTCTATTAAAAGGAAATATTGCTATTTATGAATGTCAGTTTGTTTATGGAGTTTTTTTGAATGGCAGTACTTTAATCTGTGCAATTTCATGGACTAGCATTACATTCTAGATGACAGTCTACTGCTTACTAAATGGTGAAATAGTTTTCCGTCATGAAAAACTGAACCCGTGCTGTAAAACTCCCTCCTTATAGATCACGTTTCCTACTGCATACAAGCGTTCTCCAATATAAATCGTACAAACTAAGGGAAACGTTCGGAACGTGCTGAATGTACTGACATTTTGCAGACACCTGGTAACCTCCAAGAGGCGGGGGGTGACCTTCGGCAGCATCAAACCCGGACGACACAAGGACCACGTCAGGGGAGAACTCCTGGGCAATGGGCATCACCACAGTCCTGCAAACAGGACAGCAGAGAAACCGGTCAAGCTGAGAACACGTCAGCTCCCAGCTCCACTCAAATCCATCCTGACCTGGGGAAAAAAGATTATTGAAGGGAAAAGAAACGGGAAGCATCTTTGCAGTCAGGGCCTGTTTCCCATCCTTTAATGCTTATTATCATTGAATCACAGGGCAAAGACCCTCAGCCAAGACGGCTTATGAGGTTTCTAATGGGCTGTGACAGTGAAGGCACTCAGGCATGCCTGAATGACTGCTTTATTTGACCAAGAAAGAAGGGGAACCTTTGTAATGCACAACTAAAAAAAAAACAGTTCAAAGTTAAAAAACCCTGGGCTGCAGCTTTTGTTTTGACCACCGAGGGGCACTGTGTGCAACCGAAGTCCTACTGTATATCGAGCCCACAGAAGCGGATATCCCGATCAGGAGGCGTGATCCACCCTCTGCAAGTTGTTTTCTCTCTCGGAATTTAGTTTAGACACACGTAACACAAGATCTTTACACTCAGTTCGAGATCTAGATCGAGATCAACATCCCCACCCACCCCCAGCTCTGCCACCGCCTAGACCCGGGTTGTGGGGTGATGCCCTCCCTGCTGTTTTCGGGCCTGCTCCTGCGGCGACGGGCGAGCCTGCCAGTGATTTACAGAGCGCTCCGTTTGATTTCCTCCAAGCGCCGAGTTCAAAGCTCTCCGCCTCCGTCTGGTTCCTATTTAGAGCTTGCCGTCTTCTCACGTCATTGTCAGTTCCATAGAACCCCATCTGAAATCTATTAGGCTTAATTATCCTGCTTTGGATTCTCTAAGCCAAACACCCTCCCCCCCCCCCATTCCATCTTAAACCTCCCCACCCCCCTTCTAGACCAATAAACCAACCCACATTGACTGGAATAGCTCAATAGCTGCAAGTGAGCACGGGGAAGGAGAGCTCATTACAGATCACTTGGGGGCTGAGGGGGGGGGGGGGTTAGAGCCGAAACTGTTATTGTTTACAGATGTCCTGGGTCCCTTGCCATGCTATTCTTTCATGCGTTGTCCCTTGGGTGGTAAAGAAAGGGAAGTGGGTCCTGCCAACTGCCTGCCATTGTTCTCCGAGAGCTCGGCACTCTTTCCTAGGGACTGCAGCTGTGCTGCCGATCCTGCGGCCGACTTGGGACGCTGGAGACCCCACATCTGAAGCCATGAGTCCCCTGAGATTATAGACGCAAACTCAAAATGCCGAGTCTCCAAGCTTCCACAGCACCGAGCACAAATAACTCCACTGGAGAGCGACACTTGGAATAGCAGCAGGTCAATAATTCGACAGAATATACAGATATTTCTATATAGAATATATACTGTAGATTCATATAGTTGCTTTTAATAACCTGTGAGATCAATCAGTGACTCTAGCGCTGCACACAAGTACTATTTGCTACCGATCTGACAAAACAAAAAACTTGCAAAATGGAAAGAAGGTGGAATTTAAAGAGAAACAAAATATAAAACTCCAATTTCAATGACATACAGCACAAAGCTGAATGGAGAGGATAGAACAGAAACTCCAGGAATACAAAACGATTATAAAAAAAAGTATGCAGAGGAGACATGAGCTCTGTGAATCACTGAAACACTGTGAAGGGTTTGGGAAGGGAGCTCTTCCAGCCACTCCTGTAATGTTTTGCTGTGTCTAAGATGAAGGCCTTGCGCAGAACACTCAGAACCTACAAACCCCAGTTCTGCGTGCTGTGTTCGGCAGGCTGTGTGCACCATCGTTGTGACCCCACCCTCTGCGCCAGCTGCAGCTCACCTGAAAGCAGCCAGGTACTCCGCGTCCCCCATGGGAGGGTCCAGACCGCCTGTCCATGCCACGTTGACATTGAAGCCCACCCCAGGACCAGTGCCCACCTGAAAAACACACACGAATCCGGATTGGTGATGCCCTCATCAGAGAAGGAAACTGGGAACGTACTGATCCACAACGCAGGGACTCCGCTGATTAATTTGTTTTGGATCTTTTGGAATTGAGCACTGTGCAGGACACAGCGCTGGCCTCTCTCACTCCAACAGGACAGACCTGGCTAGCAGACTGTACAGGTGATTTAGAGTCTGAGAGACGGAGGAGATGTACTGTATAAGCAACACTGCAGGAATGACAGCCCCCTCTTGAAACCCTAGTCTTATAGTAGGACAGCTCGACGTTTTATTTTTCTCACCCATTCTTTTTATGCTGTCCATCTTGCCCACGGCTCTTCCCCCTGACGAGGGTAGACAGTGTGGGCAAGAATGTCCAGACACTTGACTCACCAGGAGAAATGTGCCTGATCTCATCATTTCAGCAAAACAGCTTTGTAAACTGAAAAATATCATAAGCTGGTGAAGGTCAGGGAAGAGCTCAAGTTCCTTGTGTTACATTAGTGTTTCTCACCAAGCTCTTTCCTGGAAGGGATATTTCATTATATCTTTACTAGATTAGATTATTACCCATTATTAGGGGGGGCAATCTGATGTACAACATGTGTTTTTCTTAGAAAACATACAGAACTTCCTTTCTATCTAAATACACATGCAGTATATAATTAAAGTGAGCAAGAGCACTCCATGCATGTTCTTTACTATTACAAACAGTGAAAAAAACAATCTGGTGTTGGTGTGAGCTTTTTTTGTGTACTACGTGTGAGCTGCTGATTAAATGAATTTTCATGAGAATATTTCTGCTTTCTGGATGGGAACTGCCAGCAGAGGTTGGCTAAAAAAAGCATGGCACTGCCTGGGAGCAAACGCAGAGAGGCCCCCAGAGGTGACCTCTCTCTCACGGACGTGGGCTGCAGACAGGGTCCTGGGTTTGACCACAGAAGGCCTCAAGGCTCCCTAGAGGCGCTTCAAAGCATCACAGCGCCACCCGCCTCTCCCCACCACAGCCGGAGGTGAAACAATGAACGAGACTCGTGGCTCCTTTAACGGATGCCTTCAAATCCAGCCGTGCCCCGAAAGGGCTGGGGGATATTACAGGCAACCTTTTCCAGCTTTTTGATATTCCACATGGGCAGGATGCAGACACAAACAGAAAGCACATGATCCCTGCTCCGTGCGGCCAACTCCCCGAGACACTGACATTCCTTTTTTTCTCCCCACCCCCCCAGAAGTCTTAGAGAAGTGGAACCACATTGTGAAAGAAGCATCGGCTCTGCAGCACTGGATGTTACAAAAACCCATACATAGGATGAAGTCAAAGGTGGTGGTGGGGGGGGGTCTCACCTCAGTTGGGCCCCCACTCCCGGGGAAGAAGTTCCCATCGTCATAGCGATGGAGCGAGATGTACAGCACGCTGGGGTCGTTGTAAAAGACCTCCTGGGTACCGTTGCCATGGTGCACATCCTGGACACATCAGAGATGAAAAAAGAATGAATGAACAACCCCTCTGTTTGGCGTCTGGCCTTTCCTCATCACCGGGAAGCAGCCTGGGCTATACTCTCCAAAACTCTCCAGAGGTATCTGTGAGTGAAGTGGACAGTCATCAAAAACAAATAGCAGAAACCAGAGCGATTAAATCCGGTATCTGGCATTAGCATCAAGAGTGGAGTGCGACTGCAGCATAAACAGCTTCTCCCTGCTGATGCACGGTGACTCACAATAAGTTTGAAGATGTCCCAACGCACCTGCTGCATTTTTCTGTAATTCAGATATGGGTTTGGAGTTAATAAATCAAGCCCGGAGCATGCACCGGAGGATTAGAAGAGCTGGAAATGGTAGGAAAGGTTGGAGGTTGGAAAAAGGCTGCTACGAAACGTGAACAACTATGTTGGGGGTTTCCCAGTGGCTCGACCAGTAAGGTTTCCAGCCCTGAGTTGTATGAACCAGGCGACACAGGTTTGAGTTTTCCCATGTTGTTGGCGAAGAACGTGCCCCTCCATTCATCGGCGCCGAACCTCCTGGACTGTGCTGTGTAGGCTGAGATGTGTTAAAAGTGGAAATAAAATAGCTAAAAATAGGAAAGCTTTGATCCAGACCTGCCCTTGAAAAGTAGTAAATAGGTAATGGACAGGAGTGTGTGTTTGCACGAGTACGCAGACATGAGTGTTTACACAAGTGCACAGACACAAGTGTGCGTTTGCATGAGTACACAGATATGGGTGTGCATATGTCGAGTACGTGGACATGAGTGTATGTTTTCTTCAGTACATGGACACAAGTGAGTTTTAAAATGAATAGGAAGTTTGAAATGTTTGTTTGCACAAGTCTGTGGACTCGGTTGTGTGTTTACACAAATAGGAGGTTACGAGTGTGTGTTTGCACGAGTGTGCAGACAAGAGTGTGTGTTTGCATGAGCATGCGGACACAAGTACGACCGTCTCACCCAGTCCACGATGAGAATCTTGCTGGCACTCAGTTTCTGCTGGAGCTGTTTGGCGGCGATGGCCACTGAGTTGAAGAAGCAGAATCCCCTGGGGAATAGAG